GCAAAATGCTAGCTAAGAGCTACATGAATTGATATGCTAGCTAAAAAGCTAAATGCTAACTGAAAGCCTGAAGAATAAAAAAAACAGCTAAAAGTAGCCAAACACCAGCTAATGTAACAAAATCATAATGCTAGTTTAAAGGAGCAAGTTGTTAGCTAATAGCTAAATGCTGCTTAAAAGGAGCTAAAAGTATCAAAATGCCAGTTAAAGTAACAAAATGCTAATGCTAGCTGAAAGTGTCCAAAGGCTGAATGTTCAGCTGTTTTGTTGAGGACATCAGTCTTCATAGACACAGCGTCTCGCAGCTAAACGTCCTCCGTCCCGGTGCTCCACCCTGCCCTGCAGGAGCTGAAGTTCTCTGACGGTGTCGGCTGCTCTGACTCAGTTTTATTATCGAAGGACATCGTCTCAGGTTAAAACGTCAGATTTAATTAGAGGCTCACTGAACTCTGTCCTGCTTCAGAAGATATTTTGCTAACAAGCAGTGTTGACTTCATGTTTGTAAAGCAGTAGGACTTCCTTGTCCCATCTGCAGGAACAGAACTGTTCTGGTTCTGAAGTTCTGCTCGGCTCTATAAAACTGCAGCTCAGTCACAACGTTCTGAAGAAAAGCAGAAGTTTAGCTGACAGTGACATCACTTCCTGTGTGTGGCTGTCTGCAGCATCGTTGTCATGGTGACCACCTCCAGCACCTCAGCTGGTCCTGGTCCAGATATCAGGAGGTTTCACCTTGATGACGTTCAGGATCCAGAGGTGTTCCTCAGGGCAGTCCTGTCTCTCTCAGTCCCTCATCCGTCCTGTCCCTGTGGCTGAGGGACCAGACCTGTGTCTTCAGTCCTTCAGAGGTGTCTCCTGTCAGGGACAGTATGTGGACAGTCTGCACGAGCAGCAGTGGTTCTGGTGTTTCACCGTAGACTCTGATATGGACCGTCCTCTCAGACTTCACAGCCCGATCAGCTTTTTCTACAAACATGGCTGTTCTGGACCCGACCTGTCAGAACCTGTAGACCGTGAGGACCCCAAGGCCGCTGCTGATGTGGTGCAGGATCGTTTTGTATGAGTCGAGTTCTGCTCAGGGTCTGGCATGTCCTGGTTCTGCTCAGGGTCCAGCTACAGAACTGCCTGGAAAATAACAGGATGTCCTAATAAGGGCAATAAAACGTGCGTGTGTGCTGTCAGCCAGTATAACATCAAAGTGTATAACAGGGACAGAGCAGAGCCAGTAGATAACTGGATGGAGCTGAGGTTCTGTTGAAGCTGCTGGGGGCGTTGATGCTGCAGCACACTGTAGTCATCATCATCAGGAGGAGGAGGAGGAGGAGGAGGGACAGAAGCTCACTGCGCCGAGTCGTGAACGCTCTTCAGAGCAGGTTCAGCACTGGTTTTGTTAACCCTCGAGCAGAAAACCAGTCACATTTCTTTTTGTTTGGTGATTGATTCGCTGATTTGTGTGTCGGCACAAAGTGGAGCTCATTCTCCTCCAGGGTGGACTCTGGCAGGGCTGTCCCTCCACTCCTGCTCCTGGACGCCTTCCTTTAGACGAGGTATCTCAGCGTGGCCCGTTGGGAAGAGGCCCTGCGTGTTTCTGACGCTCCTGTCACCTCACAGAAACGTTACTGCCCTCGTGTGTTGCTGAGAGCAAACATCAAACCACAGGGAAATCCCATTATAAATGCAGTTTCTGATCCTATCAAACATCAAACCACAGGGAAATCC